CCAGCTTTCTTGAAACTTCAGCTCTTTGAAAAGAGAACGAAGTTCTGCACATTCATGTAGGTGTGCAGAAGAGCCATATGAAAAACTTGAGGCCTAAAACCAAATGTGGTCCTATGGCTATACAAAGCGATACTACTACCAAGATTAACTTATGCTGTTGTAATGGTGGCTAAGAGTAGAGAAGGTAGATACAAGGAACTTGCTGAAAAGCCTACAAGGTGGTTACCTGAGGGCTTCGGTGGGGGCCATAAGAACCACACCAACAGAGGCGCTGAAGGTAGCCCTCTGCGTACATCCATTGGACCTGACTATATACGGAGCAGCAACCAACACAGCATATAGACTGAAATGTCAAGGTGAATAGAGGAATACCAGATTGGGACATACTAGGCTCAAGTTTATATTCGCATCCATTCATAACAAAGCAGAACAGGACCTACAGAAAAATTCAAATCTCTAAGGGCTTCAACTCTTGCATACTAACGAGAAAGGACTGGCTGATACCAGACAGATTAAAATACCAAAACACTAACTACTGGTTCACAGATGGCTCGGGGTTGAACAATCTATACGGGGCTAGAATGTACGGGTCAGGCGAAGAATATAGGGAGGGTATGTCTCTAGGCGACCTGGTCACGGTGTTCCAGGCCAAGATCATGGTCATTTTAAGATGTGCCAAAATCCTCATCTCAAGAGAGATTAAAAACAAAAAGTCGCAATTTACGCTGGCAGCAAAACAGCTATATCAGCGTTAGTCAAGACCACCATGGAATCGTCCTTGGTATGGGACTGCATGACTGCGCTTGAGAAGCTTAACAAGACCAACAAGGTCACCCTTATGTGGGTGCCCGGGCATGAAAGTGTACATGGCAATGAGATGGCAGACTGCCTTGCGAAGAGGGGCTCTGAAGGTGACCTTATAGAGCGAGCAATTATTCCACCTTTTGTCTTAGGCAAAGCCACTATCAAGAATAGGCTGGACTTAGAACACTACTTAAGATGGGAAACAGCAGAAAACTGCCGAAGGTTGAGACTGACGATGGGGAAACCTTAGGTGAAAAGAGCGGAAGAGCTAACAGTGATGAACAAGAAAAGGCTGGGAACCACAATTGGACTGTTGACTGTTAACGGCCCTAAAAGCCCATCTGCTTAAATTGAAAATCGCAGAGGATGATGTCGTCTCTCGATCTGTCGATCCTTAGGATATGCATATAGATCCACCCGCTAACTTACTACTATTACAAGCATATCGAAATGTAGATTATGTTGCAATATCAAATTTTATCTAATCACTAGTACCAATATGATATAAATCTAAAATTCATCGCTAATTGAAATTGGACGTCAGGATTATCTAGCAGCTTTACCAGTTACACAGACAGTGGTTAAAAAAAATTATACTAAACACAGGTCATTCAATTTCTATTCAGAATTTACCGATAGTTTCCTATCACGTTACTATATAATTTTTTTCACCTATCCACTGTCTACGTAATTAGTACATTTACTAAACAATCCTAATACACAATTCCTATTTAAGATATATTGATGGATTTCCATATCGTTACTGTGTAATCTTTTCTGTCTAGTTACTGTCTATATAATTGATGTAGCTATTAGATAGTCCTGACATTTAATTTCTATGTAGGATTTACAGCACATTGCTACTATTAGTTAAATCGAAAAGTTCCGTCCATCTAGCGGCGAGCAGCTATAGCTAGAACTGTCAGTAATTCTAACGTCTAAACCAAGCTTAATTTTTTAGTTTTATCATCTGTCACTAAATTTCAGTATATAATTTATATCTATAATTGTTTTTTACTGCATCGAAAATGTCAAAATTTGAGCTAAATATGCATCATTTGAGCAAAGTGTTAATCTTTTGCTTCAAATGGAAGAAAACCGCAGCTGAAGCTCATCGAATGCTTGTAGAAGTTTATGGTGATGGTGTTCCTTCCGATAAAACATGCAGAGAATGGTTTTGACGCTTTAAAAGTAGTGATTTCGATGTGGAGGACAAAGTGCGTCCTGAGCGGCAAATAGCATTCGAAGACAAAAAGTTGCAGGCATTGGCTATTGGATATTGAGATGAGCATTGCACGAGAAAAGACATGAATATAAAACAAAACAGCATAAAGTAATTTTGCTTCTTGACCACGCGCGACCCCATTTCACAAAAATTGTCAAGGAAATGTTAAAAGCCCTTTGCTGGGAAATGCTATTCCAGCTTATTCGCCAGACTGTGCTCTTTCCGATTACTGCTTGTTTCTCGTTGATAGCACACGCATTTGCTGAGGAATGCTTCAGTTCTTATGAAGACGTCATGTTACAAAACTTGTCAAGGAAACGTTAGAAGCATTTCGTTGGGTGATTCTACTCCATGCGGTTTATTCACCAGACTGTGCCCCTTCCAATTACTACTTGTTTCGGTTGATAGCACACGCACTTGTTAAGGAACGCTTCAATTCTTACGAAGACATCGATAAATGGGTTTCTGACTGGATAACATCTAAAATATGAGTCATTCTTTTGTCGCGGAATTTGCTTGCCACCCGAAAGATGGGAAAAAGTTATCGCTAACGATGGGCAATATTTTGTAAGATGTACGAGGTCTGTTCAGAAAGTATCCCGAATTTTGAATTTCCGCGGGTTAGGTATAATCGATTTTCGATTTTTTTGTGGCGTTATGTTGGTACTCATGTCCCTCATTTATGCCGACAAGTTCGATCATTTTAAATATTCAGTTTATCTTTGACAGCTGTTTTGCTTGGACGTGTTTTGGCTCGTCTTCGATATTTGCCTATTCCAAAAAATGGATCAAAGAATCTGTATCAAATTTTGTGTAAAAAACAAAATTAAATGCGCGGACGCATTCCGAATGTTGACTGTGGCATATGATGAAACTACCTTGGACCGAAGCAACGTTTATCGGTGGTACAAAATGTTCTCAGAGGGCCGAGAAGATGTGAACGACAAAGAGCGTGCCGGACGCCCGAGCACGTTAACAACAGACGAAAACGTTGATGAAGTGAAGAAAATAGTATTGGCCAATCGTCGAATCACCGTTAGAAAAGTTGCTGAGGACCTAAACATATCGATTAGCTCGTGCCATTCGATTTTTACTAATGATTTGGGCATGAGACGGGTCGCCGCGAAATTCGTACCAACGCACCTGCTCACACATCGTTGGATGTGCGCGAATTTTTGGACAAAAACAACACACTAATGATGCCGCAGCCACCGTATTCCCATGACCTGGCCCCCTGTGACTTTTTCTTGTTCCCAAAACTGAAGAGGCACATGAAAGGACGACGCTACGCTATGATTGAGGCGATAAAGACGGCATCGAAGGAGGAGCTGAACAAGATCACAAAAAATGATTTTTTGAAGTGTTTCGAGGATTGGAAAAAACGTTGGCACAAGTGTATAATATCTGATGGGGATTACTTTGAAGGAGACAAAATAGATATTCATGATTAAATAAATAATTTTTTAAAAACCACAAAATTCGCGATACTTTTTGAGCACACCTCGTACATAAAGATGGACAACTCAAAAGCCAAAAGTCTTAAGTTCAAATTTATCAGGGCAAATAAAATTTTTCTAATTGAATGAGATATACGTATGCCAAAAGGACTTTCAAAAACTAAACTACATTGGATCATCTTTTCGAGAGAGAAAGATAATTAATCAAATGTCTGATTAAAAAAAGCTATTCAGCCACTAGAAGAAATTCATGTTACAGAAGTTCTAAAATGGGAAAGCTGTCTGGGGATTATATACTTCTGATGTAGGGAAAAAGTAAGACAGAGAGAGAGAGAGAAAGAGAGGGAGAAAGAGAGAGAGAAAGAGAGAGAGAGAGAGATCAACGAAAAGAAAAATAATTTTTTTCATTTTATTAAATTATATCTAACAACCATCTAATTTTTCTGTTGCATCCAATAGGAGAAATGAGCATTATATTTTTGGCTAGTGGTTACTTAAGATTTTTCATCTCATGTCTGTGCACTACTTTTTGTCTAGTTATTAGCTAATTTTTCTAGTACAGTTATTAAAAGAAGTGAACGTTATATTCCGAACTAATGGCTAACTAATACTACTATCTAGTAGCGATGTAAAACTCAACTTTTCTATGTCATGACTAGACAATTACTAGATTCAATTTCTACTCGAGTAATGTCGACCAAGAAATTTCGCGCTTACGCGACGCGTTAGCTAAAATAACCTTGCCGAATAACATTAATATCTCTCGACCATGACCCAGTAGGACACATAAGGACCCGAAAGAGTGTTTCCGTATTAACGATCAATTACTAGCATGATTAAAAGACATCTGAGCAACTGTACATGCTAACCAAATCCGTCTCACTAACGCCATAAGGAGCGCCCTGCGTCAGGTGCGAAATACGAGGGCGGTTTGATAAGAAGTAGGATTTACGTATGGTGGCGCCACTACAGCGAAACCGGTTTTACTATCATATAGCCTCATCTTTCAAACAATGCCTGTCAAAATTTCAGCCTTATCCGTCCATTAGTTTTTTGTTGGCAGCCGCTTAATACGCTTAAAACGCCTAAGCCATTGTCGTCAATATGGAAAGAGAACAATATCGTTCGGTGATTCATTTCCTTACTTTGGATGGGAAAACGTGTGAAGTAGTCCAAGATAAATTGGAAGCCGTTTATGCGAATGTTGCTCCTTCGAGAAGCACTGTTTTTAGATGGTATGACGAGTTTCATCGTGGTTGCACATGCGTCTTTGATGATGACCGTCCCGGGCAGTCAAAAGAAGTTACTACCGATGATTTTGTCGAAAAAGTGCATATCATATTGGTCGACCGTCGGGCAAAGGTACGTGAGATAGCAGACATGGTAAAGTTTTCGGAAGAACGCACAGGACAAATCATACATTATATATTGCACATAAGAAAGCTAACGGTGCGCGATGGATGCCTCGGTTGCTCACCATGGATTAAAAACGAAATCGGGTAGTCATTTCGAAGATGTGTTTGGAGCTTTTTCAGCACAATCAAGCGGAGTTTCTGCGTCGTTTTGTGACTGTAGATGTAACGTGGGTCCATCACTATACATTAGATACCAAGCAACAGTATAAACAGTGGACTTTACCTGGTGAAAGAGCTCCGAAGAAGGCCAAAACGGCCCCATCGGCCGGAAAAGTCATGGCTACGTTATTCTGGGATTCCCGCGGTGTAATCTTAATCGATTATTAGGTCAAGGGAAGATCTATCACTGGGCAATATTACAGTGATTTGGTGGGATGATTCGACGTTGAATTAAAGAAGAAACGGCTTCATCTTGCAAAGAAGAAAGTCCTGTTCCCACACGACAATGTACCAACACGTTCATTTTCAATCGCTATAGCTAAACTGTTTGAATTGAGGTACGAACTACTTACCCCATTCGCCGTATTTTCCAGATTTGGCCTTCAGCGACTTTTTCCTGTTTCCCAATGTGAAAAAATATTTTGCAGAGAAGAAATTTACATCCCATTCGGAAATCTTCGCTGAGGTAGATGCCTATTTTGCAGAGTTTGAACAATTATACTTTTTAGAGGGCATTAAAAAATTACTGCACCGTTGGAAGAAATGTAAAGAAGTAGAAGTGTACTACATTGAAAAATAAATCGAAATTTTTCCGAAATATTGCGTTTTCATTTTAAATCCTACTATTACTACTATCAGACTGCCCTCGTAATGCCTGCGTTACTAAATTTGCGTGTTCCGAACCATTTATGGACTGACTTAAAAAGTATCCAATTGGTATCTTCGTACTGTCGTTTAATGAAACTTTCATAAATACCGAGGCATTTTTGCTGCAAATGCAGAATCATAATCATCTACATATTCAGTTTCCTCTACAGTTCCGTAATCTACATCTCCATGCAATGTACCTTGATGAAAAATAATTTGTTTCCCTAATGGCCATCTCATCTAAGACCAAATTAACTATAACAGGTTTCTACGACTCTTAAGCACATAGAGCAATGACTCGTAACGTCTCTTTTGTAGAGCTTGGTGATCCATTGACTGTTTAATACCAGGTTTTTATTGTAGACTGGGCAGGCAGAAGATTCTGCCATGTTTTTCGCACATAATTATTAGGTGAAGTAAAAAGTTCTGAGCGTTTTCCGCTAGATGTCTTTAGTGAGCCATATCTCACGATGTATACATCGCATCGGGTCATACTATACGTCGATTTAAAGGTGACATTACGCTTCAAAAAAAGTTCTGTTACAGTTTTGTGTTTGGTCAAGGCAGTTGTGTGTTACAGCGTTCCAAAATAGAGGTAAAAAAAGAGAAAATTCGATATATTCTTTAGTACCACTACGACCAAGGTGAAAAGGCGGAGCAGGCGGCCAAAAAAATTTGTGCTGTTTATGGACCCAATACAGTATCGAATGCAACAGCAAAGCGGTGGTTCCAAAGATTCCGTTCTGGTAACATGGACGTCGAAGATGAGGCACGCTCTGGTAGGCTAATTGTCGAAAATGTCGATAAAATCATGGAAATCGTCGAGTCGGACCGGCATGTGAGCACTTATTCCATTGCCCAGGAACTGAAGATTAGCCAGAAAACCGTTTGGAACCATTTGCATAAGGCTGGTCTCAAGAAGAAGCTCGATGTATGGGTGCCACACGAATTGACGCAAAAGAACCTTTTGGACCGAATTGATGCCTGCGATTCTTTGCTGAAACGTAACGAAATCGACCCATTTTTGAAGCGGATGGTAACTGGTGATGAAAAATGGGTCACATACGAGAACAACAGCCGAAGAAGATCGTGGTCCAATCGCGGTGAGCCGGCCCAAACGATCGCCAAGCCCGGATTAACGGCCAAGAAGGTTTTGCTGTGTGTTTGGTGGGATTGGAAAGGAATCATCCACTATGAGCTGCTCCCATTGGGCCAAACATTCAATTCGGACCTCTATTGTCAACAACTGACCAGATTGAAGCAGGCGATCGACCAGAAGCGGCCAGAATTGGCCAATAGGAAAAGTGTTGTGTTCTATCAAGACAACGTCAGGCCCCACACATCATTAACGACGCGCCAGAAGCTCCGAGAGCTCGGATGGGAGGTTCTATTGCACTCACCGTATAGTCCAGACTTGGCACTAAGCGATTATCACCTTTTCAAGCATTTGCAAAATTTTCTTGATGGTACAAAACTAGCCTCAAGAGAGGCTTGTGAAAATGAGCTGGTCAAGTTTTTTACCAATAGGGACGAGGACTTCTTCAATCGCGGAATTATGAAATTGCTTTCAAAATGGACAAAAGTTATCGAACAAAACGGCGCATATTTGATCGAAATCGGATAATCCTAACTATGTTAATTTCATCGTCGAAATAAAGCGAAAAAACGCTCAGAACTTTTTACTTCACCTAATAT